ATCAGATTTTGAGCGACTTTGGTTGATGGAAAAAAATTCCATGCCTGGAGTGATACCTATGAAAAAGAGTCCAATTTTCGTCCAAAAGTCATACTTAATGTAGTCATAATAAACACTCAAAAATATGTATTGGGGGGTTTTTTGGCACGAGAAAACCGAATCCGACGTTAGTTTTGAGATACAATCAATTTTTAATACAGTTTCCTTGGATTTTTGTATGGGAGCCATGCCTGTATGCTACCTTAATACTTTGCCAAGACTATTTTTTACACAAAAAAATAACATTCTGAAAATTTGAAGAGATTTCAATTAAAATTAGGGGTACCTCCCATACAAAATTTTCAATTGGCTCAAAAACGAATATTTTGTATGGGAAGTACTCTTGATTTTGGTTGAAATTTCTCCAAACCCTCCGAATGTTATTTGTGAAAAAAATAACCTGTGCAAAGTTTCACGCCATTAAGGTAGCATACAGACATGGCTCCCATACAAAAATCCAAGGATATTGTATTAAAAATTGATTGTATCTCAAAACTAACGTCGGATTCGGTTTTCTCGTGCCAAAAAACCCCCCAATACATATTTTTGAGTGTTTATTATGACTACATTAAGTATGACTTTTGGACGAAAATTGGACTCTTTTTCATAGGTATCACTCCAGGCATGGAATTTTTTTCCATCAACCAAAGTCGCTCAAAATCTGATGATTTCTATTCCTGGGGACCCCCAATCATCCCGTGAAGTCCGATTTCGAATAACTTTTCTGGGTGGTGAGAAAATCGATGGACAAATTTTGCGTACGGCGGACAACGTACGACGTACGACGTACGACGTACGACGTACGACGTACGACGTGGAAGCGACCCACAACAACCATGCTCAAAACGGCCTGATTCGGGTTCTCTGACCTCAGAAACGTCCAGAAAATATGTTTTTGAAGTTTCGTAAATTTTGACCTATTGCAATACTTTCCCCTTTCACACTAGGTGTGTGCGGAAAAGTAAAATACCATTTCGAGAGTTTGAAAACATTTCAACGCATATTAGGGGTACCACCCGAACAAAATTTTGGATTTTTCGCTCAAAAACGAAATTTTGTATGGGAAGTACCCTTAATATGCATTGAAATTTCTTCAAACTTTCGGAATGTTAGCCTTTTGTGAAAAAATAACCTTCTGCAAATTTTCACATGATTACGATATCATATAGGCATGGCTGCGATACAAAAATTCTCATTTTTAGTAGTTTTTGTATGAAAAGTGCTTCGAAAATTATTTGTATCTTAAAACTAATGTCAGGTTCAGTTTTCTCGTGAATTCTTTGAGTAAAATATTTGTAATAAATGCATGGTGTGGATCACGGTGCGGAAAAGTTCATCTTACGGATGTAAGACATTTTATTTTTATTAAAAAAGTGTCGAATATTAATGTTTTTGTTGAATTTTCAAAGTGCTCAAAATTCATCAAGATTCATAAAAATTTGATTTTTTTTTAAGAAACCGCCTGGAGCCGCGCATCACCGAAAATCATTTTTTTTCGAATTCGATGTTATAGTCATGTTTCTATGACCTTCCTACAGAGGTTATAGGGGTACGATTTTTGATGCTTGAAAAAATGTCAAAATCGAACCACTCTAGTGTGAATCTTATCTCGTTTGAAACACAAACAACTCATCTCAAACCTCTTAGTGACGATTAACTATGTTTTTCATTTTCAAATTAATTTTTTAATCACCGTCAACTCTATTCACATCTGTTACGTCGACACCTTCAAACGTTGGTATAAATTTGAAGGTTGAACGTAATCTGTGCAAAATATTTTCGGAAGTTTTATATTTGCTGTTCTAATTTTATTATTGTAAGCCTTGATTTTTTTGGTACTCGTGAAGTGGTTTCGAAATTTCTAAAAAAATGAAATTTATAGCGATCATTATACTTGTTGTTATTGGTCTCTTGGATATCGGTGTTCAAGGTAAAATCAATGAAAAAATGACATACAAAGATGAACATTAAGGAAAACAGAATTGAATAAATTGCGTAATTTTAGAAAATTCACACAAATTGTTCAATCTAATGATATTTTAAAATTACTCTGTGCTACTACGAAATTACCTTTTTTTTAAACTTTCCAGGCAATGTAGTAACTCGAAATATTTCCGACCAAAGCGCTACGAAGAGAAATGAATCGCTAAGTTTGTTTAATGCTATTAAATCAGGTAAGTCGGAGACGAAAAATATTCCATTAAATGATTCGTTTAGACAGCTGAACGATTTTTGATCGTTTTCCTGATTTTTTCGTCGAAACTTTTTTTCAAGAAAACTAAAAAAGATCATTAATTTTGATCCATGAAAGATTATTCATCATTGTGCGAATTATAGTCGCAACGACGGTCATAGTTCAAAAAAAATAATAATTTTCATTTATTTCGTTCGTAGGCAAAACCGACAAGGTGATATCTTTAATCGAAAGTGGAGTGAATATGAATGCTTTTAACAAAAAAGTTTCTGACTACACACCACTTGCACTCGCTATTATCGAAGGTAATTTAAAAAGATGAAACAAGATTCATTTTCATTCGAAATCTTAAAAATTTTGTAGGTAAAACTATGATTGTCAAAACACTCATCGAACATGGCGTTAATGTAACTGCCAAACATGAAGGTGATGGATATCAACCGATCCATTGGGCTGCACTAATTGGTAACATTGCACAAATCATGAAATAAACTCAATTTTGTTTAAAATAATCAAACATTTTAGGTAGCAAGGAATACTGCGAACGGTTAATCGAACGTGGAGCTAATGTCAATGAGCGTGACAATACCAATGTTACTCCTCTAATGGCCGCCGCTCTTAATGGTACTATTACCCCTGCGGCTGATCAGTATACAAAAGTAATAAAGCAAATTATTGTATTTTTCAGGTAACGAGAAGTTGGTTGAATATCTAATTGAGCGTGGGGCAGATGTAAATGCCAAAAATGAGAAAAATTGGTCCGCTCATACATATGCTTTTTACACAAGTGAATATTGATAACTTTGTAACATGGAAGAATTGTAATGAAGGTCTCTTCGCTTTTCAGGCAAAGAAGCAGCGAAACAAGTGTTGGTTAATCATGGAGCAGACGTGGACATAACTAAAAAAGCCATGGATGAATGTAATGTTTTTTTTAAAATTATTTCTTGAAAAAATGCGATTTTAATAGACAATTTTCATTTTTAAGTGAAACAATTAATCACTGGTCACAACATTGAATAAGCAAGCGACAGAGATAATGAAGACGATAAAATCGTTTGAAGAAATATAAAAAAATATAAAGACTTTGGTAAAAAGGAGCGCAAAAATCAACCGAAGACACTTGCGATTGTCTTTTTAATTAGTTAATTTGATTGTTTATTTTGTGTAGTGACTTCTGAATAAAAGATCGAACGTGCGAAATATTTTTATATTTTTTATTTCTTAAGGTAAATGATAAATACCGATAAATACCCTTTTACTAAAAATTATTTTGATTCGAAAAAACACGAACTCACTTAGGAAAGTTGATTGACACAAAGTATCTTGAACATTGCAAAGTCACCTTTGAAAAACCATAAAAGATTTATGAATGATTTTATGTACATAAACAGGTACCTTTTACAAGTAGACGTCTACTTTACGATTTAATTATCGTCTTGTTTTTGGTGTTCCTTTTATTACAAACAGTCATTAACGATTTTTGGGTATAAGATAACAACTGTGCAATGTGCATAATCTAACACCTTTAAAACCGCTTTTATTTTAATCAAAATGATCAGTTGTTCGAAAGCACTGCAGTCTCTCTCAGTATTTTTTTTTATAAATTGAGAAATGTCATTTGAAAATCAAAGTTTTGTGGTAGTTGGAGGAGCGAGTGTAGGCGGGATTGGTCTGGAATTCGTTAAGGAGCTCTTTTCCATTGGAGTTGAGGTAAAAGAAATGTGCCTCTTTTTTTTTCAATTAAATTTCAATTCAAAAAATGATTTAAAAAATGTACCTGAAAAATATGTTTTCCATCACAGAAAATTGCCATTTTTGATGTATTGAATCCGAGTAGAGCGACTGCCGAACTAAAATCTTCATTTCCAAATAAAACCGCTCAATTCCACAAAGTGGATGTTCGCAATAGGTCCGAAATTGAATGTGCATTCAAAGAAGTGATTAAATCATTCGGTTATGTCGATGTACTGGTGAATTGTGTGGGAATTTTTGATGAAAACAGACCGAAAGACGTTATTGACATCAATTTGGTACGTTTTTCTTTCGATATGTTTTTTTTTTTTTCTGCCGCGTTGAAAATGTACAATTTTATTTATTTACACTTTTAATTTCCTGTAAAATGCAGACGGGTGTAATTTATAGTACTTTGACTGGAATTGATTATATGGCCGTCAGTAAAGGTGGACACGGCGGCACAATAGTAAACATATCATCAAATGCTGGTTTAAGTGTGTCTGGCTACACCCCTGTTTATTGTGCCAGCAAATATGGTATCGTCGGTTTTACCAAGTCATTGGCATCAAAAGAGTTGGCTGCAGAGCTTGGCATAAAATTCATTCTAATATGTCCAACAGCCACTTCTACTCCGTTGTTATCGGATTACACATCGAAAGCCTATGGAAAATATGCTGCCGATGAGCTTCCAATCATTTTTGAGGAACACGTCGTAGTTCAAACGTATGTTATTACTTTTTCGCACAGCTAGTGTGCGAAAGACGTATTTTGTTTATATGAAAATGATAAAATATGTTGAAAATATGTGTTTGATTCAATTCTAGGGCGAACCAATGCGCCAAAAATATGGTAGAAGTAATAAAAACACCTGAAAATGGATCAACATGGATTCTAGGTCACGGATCATATATCAAATCCGAATAATCTCACATTTAACCTTTTTTAGGTTATTTGAAATTGATCCGTTGTTGAATTCGACTAATGAAAATAAATTGCGAATATGACTAGAAGTCGAAATAAAATTGAAAGTAACATAAAGGCTCTATTTTATTTTTCTCTATTTTACAAGTCAAAGTTGATCGAAAACATCAAAAATGAGTACATCCTTTGGCTAAGCTAAAAATTCAAATAAAAATTGATAGAAATTGATACAGAACTGAAGTGAAACAGCGGCCGTACAGCGTACAAATTAAAATTTAATTTAAACAATTAAAACACATCCATTGAAAACACATTAATTATTGTAATAGAAACTCACAGAATTTAATTTTTTTCTTCGATAAAAATGTGAATAAAAATATAAAAAATGGTTCAGAATAAATATACTATAGTGCCAGATAAGTTGAAAAAAAATCACAATTTTTTTTTAATATTTTTTTTTTCGCAAAACATTTTTTTTCACTCAAAAATGAATAAATGTTAAAAAATCTCATTGTTTGACGTGGAAAAAAATAAGCTTTCGCTTCGATTTGTCAGAAGTGGGGTTCGAACCCACGCCCACATTGTGGACCAGAGCTTAAATCTGGCGCCTTAGACCGCTCGGCCATTCTGACTTATACACTACAAAAGTGTTTACATCCATAAATCATACTAATCGAATTTAACTCGCAACACAATCAAATTTATTTGTAAACGGCATGTAATTTTCAATTTTTTTAATTTTGTACCTTCTTTTCAATTAAAACTTTGTAAAAGTTGCTTTCATGTGTTTCTATTATTAAATAAAGCATTTTTAAACACGCATTCCTTCCTGCAATTAGCGAAGAATTGATAAATGATCTCATTTTAATTTCTAAATGTACGCAACCATGTATATTTCATGCCAAACTTGAATGAGATGCCTTGACAGATTTTGACGGAGGGAAATTTGTGAGGAACGAGTTCAACTTACATCGATGATTTATTATTTCTTGATGATTTTTATTTATGTGTTTTTAAACAGAGTGTATTTAGAGGATTGATTTAATTTATTTGGTTTTTAGATGGAAATTGTCAAAAATCCAATTTATATTATAGAAAAAAGTAATTGTCAAAACTCTTTTTTCATGCGGTGTATATATTACTTTTCCGCACACACCTAGTGTGTAAGGTAAAGTATTGGAATCGGTCGAAAAATTAACACCCATAAAAAATGTGTTTTTTGGGTGTTTTTGGGGCCAGGGAACACGAATCCAGCGTTTTTTCGATGTCCGAATGTATGTGCGTACCCTGTACCCTGTACCCTGTACCCTGTACCCTGTACCCTGTACCCTGTACCCTGTACGCTGTACCCTGTACGCAAAAATTTGTTAACACGATAACTTTCAAACAAGAAAAGTAATTCAAAATCTGACTTCACAGGATGATTGGGGGTGCCGAGGAATAGAAACCATTAGATTTTGAGCGACTTTGGTTGACAGGGTAAAGTGTCATGTCTGGTGTGATGCCCATGTCCATCCATGGGAAAAATTCAATTTTTCTTCCAAAAGTGATATTTAATGTATTCCTAAACACTCAAAAAGGTGTATTGGGGGGTTTTTGGGTACGAGAAAACCGAATATGACGTTAGTTTTGCGATACAATCAACTTTCGAAACACTTTTCATACAAAAAATTCAAAAAATTTGGATTTTTGTATGGAAGCCATGCCTGTATGATATCGTAATGAGCTGAAACTTTGCACAGGTTATTTTTATCACACATAAATACTATTCCGAGAGTTTTAAGACATTTCAACGAATATTAGGGGCACCTCCCGAACAATATTTTGGATTTTTCGCTCTAAAACGAAATTTTGTATGGGAAGTACCCTTAATATGCATTGAAATTTCTTCAAACTTTCAGAATGTTAACTTTTTGTGAAAAAAATAACCTCTGCAAATTTTCACATGATTACGATATCATATAGGCATGGCTCCGATACAAAAATTCCCATCTTTAGAAGTTTTTGTAAGAAAAGTGCTTCGAAAATTATTTTTATCTAAAACTAATGTCAGATTTAGTTTTCTTTCATGTCGTGGATCACAGTGCGGAAAAGTTCATCTTACGGATGTAAGACATTTTATTTTTAAATAAACTTGCACTTTATAATATTCGAAATTTAAATTGCAATCGTAGGAATGTCGATGAATTAAATGCTGTAAACAATGGATTTGATGCACCTCATTGGACAGTCAATCAATAAAAGTGCAAAGGATTTTAATATCAGCAGTCTTCATTGTGCAGTGTGGCCATGGCCTGGAAATGCCTATGTAATTTACATATAAACGAGTGAGACTCAAACATGTTCTTCTTTTTCCATCAAATATACCAGTGGCGCCACCAATTTTACATATAAGCGCATACAAAATTTTCAATATGGCTGCGCCCATGAGAGAGAAAATTTCGTCTCATTCATTTCCGCCCCATGAGTGTGGCTTGGTAAATTCCATTTTGTTACCACCAAGAGCGTTAAACACAATTCATTTGATTTGGATTTTTTTTCACAAACCGAGTGCAGCTCATATTCTCGTTGCGCGTGTGTCTGGTGTAAATATCAGAATCTACGAAGATAAAAAACCACGTATTTATGGTTATTTGCGAGACTTTTTCATTCATTTTTGTTATTTTGTTTCCATTCCTTTTCGACCATATTGTTATTGGACAAAAAATTCATTTGTAGATCATGGAACCATTCGTAGTGTTAAGAAAGGCTTTAAAAGAGGTAATTGTTTCGAAATAAAAATAGCACATAAATCATCGTTGATTTGATTTTGACGAGTAGAATTGATGTCGTTGCTTGTCTGATTGCAATTAAGAGGGGTAAAGTTCATTTATTTTGAACAATTTCACAATTATCAAGATAAAGAAAAATTCTCACTTAATTCGGAGCAAATAAAAATATCCGTAATCATGATTTCAGAACAGCCACAAGATGATTTACGTAGACACAGTCATAAATCTTATTAGCATTCTATAGAACACGTCAAGCAACTTAATGTAAATGTCAATCCAACGAAAAACAAACAACAAGCAAAATGCGAATTCAGTAGAAATGATAAAAATATCTACTTAAATACCAAAAATATTCGTTTCTAAATAAATATTGTCACATTTTCCTTCAGTGTTACGAAAAAGTACTTGTATTTGTAAGAAAGAGTACTTGTTTTCATGAGAAACGAGACATCAATAAAAAAAATGATTGTTTCTCTTCTTAACACCAAACAATGCATATATAATTTAAAATATATATTTTTTTTATTAATTTCCATCGGAAAAAATATAATTCCCAAAAAACTAAATAAATGTTAAAAAACCAAATTGAAAAAAAAGAAGTTCACACTTCGTTTGTCAGAAGTGGGGTTCGAACCCACGCCCACATTGTGGACCAGAGCTTAAATCTGGCGCCTTAGACCGCTCGGCCATTCTGACTACGAAAGTGTTTACACCAATAAATCATACGTTGCACTGAACAAAGGCGTCATTCGGTGTGTAATAAAAACATACATTTTAATCAAACAAACGGCAATATGGTCATTGAAATAAATAAATAGATGACATATAAATTGACAATTTAAGTAATAATTTCAAATATAATACAGCGAAGGATGTATTACGATCATTTTTTGTGTCAATAACTTTTGCTACAATATTTATAACAAACAAACCCCAGATGTACAACGCAGCTACACTAAAACGTCAAAGTATTCCATTGTGTGTGATGCCACTTGTAAATGTATAAGTTCCTTGATATTAATGTGGGAGATAAGATACATTTTTGAATCATTTGCAAATAAACATTCAAACGGTAGTGAGTATGTATTTAAGGGAGATACAAATACAACTTAGTTCCAAGCTGAAAATTGTGAATCATGTTTTGATGTTTTATCCACCTTTATTTTGATCTAAATATTATTTGTACTTTTTGTGAGATTTAAGGTGAAAACGACCCAAATTTCAAAAATTTCAATTGAAAAAATAATTACCAAAATCAAAACTGGCATGAAAAGATTCTAAAATTAGTGTAGTCTATCGAATAGAATTTAATAAGTAAATTTAATTTGAACATTAATGTGAGACTCGAATTAAATTTAATTTTAAACTTGCATGTAATTTTCAAATGCTTGTCTTTCAAAATCATTCTTAAGGTTGGAATGTCTATAATATGTGATTGCCTTTATTTGATTTTTACGAATTAATCGGTAAACGAAAGCACAGTCGCTGTGAATGTGAAGGATACTGAAAATGGAACATTCCCATCATCTATTAGCCAGAATATTCAAATATACAATTTTTATACAAATTCATTTCCACCGATAAGATAATTAATTTTTATTTATTCAGAGAATATAGCCCTTAAATTACTTCTTGGCCGTGACGCTGAATTCAATGCTATTAGTGTATTAAAAACGCATTGGACAGTCATGTCTTTTTCAATTGGCATTGAATTTTTATATTTTTTAAAATTTTAGACGGTGGCAAGGAATCAATTGTAGAAATATTGACCATGACTCTCTCTCTCTCTCTCTCTCTCTCTCTCTCTCTCTCTGTGTGTGTGTGTGTTTAGTTAAAGAAATAATGTATAGGATTTGAATGCCTTCATTTTACAGTGTGGCTTGGTACATTCGTTACCACCAATAGCGTTGAACACAATATATTTAAATTGGATTTTTTTCACAAATCGAGTGCAGCTTGAATTTTCATTGATCGTAGGTCTTATGTAAATATCCGAATCTACGAACATAGAACACCACATATTTATGGTTAATTGCGAGGTTCATTCATTTTTATTATTTTGTTTCTATTCATTTTCGACCATATTGATATTGGACAAAAAATCCGTTTATCATGGATTATCCATTTTGGATTTTCCATTATTCATGCTCTTAAGATAGGCTCTAAAAAAGGAAATTGTTTCGAAATATAAAATAGCAGATAAATCATTTTTGATTTGATTTTAACGAGTAGAATTGATGTCTTTGCTCGCCTGATTGCATTTGGAATGGGGTATCAAGATAACGAAAATTCTCATTTATTTCGGAGCAAATATGACTTAAGAACACCGCATGATGATGAACGTAGACACAGTCATTAAAATCTTATTGGCATTCCATAAAACACGCCCAACAACTCAATGTCAATGCCGATTCAATGTGAAACAAGCAACAAAAAAATGCGACTTTTTCCCCATTCGGTAGAAATAATAAAAATATCTGCTCAAATACCAAAAATATTCGTCTCTAAATTGTCACATTTTCCTTCAATGTAACGAAAAAGAACTTGTATTTAAGAAAGAATACTTGTTTTCATAAGAAACGAGACATCAATAAAAAAAAAAGATTGTTTCCCTTCTAAACACCAAACAATGCATATATAATTTAAAAAATATATTTTTTTTTATTAATTTCCATCGTAAAAAATATAATTCCAAAAAAACTAAATAAATGTTAAAAAACCAAAATGAAAAAAAAGAAGTTCACACTTCATTTGTCAGAAGTGGGGTTCGAACCCACGCCCACATAGTGGACCAGAGCTTAAATCTGGCGCCTTAGACCGCTCGGCCATTCTGACTTATACATTACAACGGTGTTTATACCATAAAATCATACGTCGTACTATACATTACCGTCGTTTGGTGTGCTGTGAGATACCTTTATCGAATGTTCTTGATACAAAAGGAAATATGGTCATCGAATGTATACGTTCGAATTGTTTTCAACCTCGAAATTAACAATTTAAACGATTTCGAATGTATTTTCAATGCTGAATGCTTTGCTTTTACCAAATGACATAACCATTTGATCTAAAATACGCTATAGACAGCGTAGCTCAGTGGTTAGAGCTGCGGCACTCAACACAACTATCGCAGGTTCGATTCCGCAAGAAATTTATTTTTTTTTTTATTTCACTGAAAGTCATTTTTTTAAATTATTCTCACGTATTTCTCTCTTTCTAGCTTATTTCGCGTAAAAAATACAAAAAATTTTTTTGAAAAATTATGAGTGTCTGAAAAAACGTCGAAAATAATTTTAAAGTGTTGATTTACAACCATTCCAACATGACTTTCCAGGCGATTGTGGAAAATATGATGACTTCAGTTTGGGAAAGATCATAACTTTATTGAAAAAAAGACTAAAGTCAAAAATATATCCGAAAATAATGAGTGTGGTGAATAAAATGATCCAAATAGAGGTGATTTCATTTAAAAAATGTTGGAAAACATATATTTTATTCCAGTATAGACAGTTAGTCTGTTATGTGTAAAACATATTGATATAAATGTGATGAATATGTAAAAATATGTAGTCTTACAATTAATCGGTTAGATAAAACAAATCAATCGGCAGTGTGTTACCTTTGAAAACTGTTTAAAATCTGAAGTATATAATTTTTTTTCTTTAGATAAATAAAAATTGAATAAAAGTATGTGATGGACGAATTTCTACAATAAATTAAATTCGCCTAAAATAGACACTCAATGTTTATAATCAAATTTATGGATTTAATTTTTTCCTAAAAATTCCCTTTGTTTTTGGTAGTTTAAAATCAGTCACATATCTCAAATTGGTTAATATATATAAGATGAATAAATACAAATAAAATGACATATTATATAAAATAATTGGGCAGTGATGTAAAAAAAATTTGCTCGCCAAAAAAATACAGAATAATAAAATACAAAAAGAGATCTAATTTTTTTGACCAAAAATAAAAATCGGCAGTCTCAATTTGAACGGTTGTTTGTGATGTAATTTCTAATTCAAAATGAAAATCAATTTCATCCCCTTAGTGTTCACAGATCGAATGAATGAATTTCGCGTTTTAGTTCTGACAATGGTTTGAGTATGACTTGATTTTTGTCGAACGTATTAAAATGCATGCTGTCAATCACTTCTTTTTCCATGTAAATCATTAATTTATTGACGCCCTCAATTGATTCCCGTACTTTGCCTAATTCGGTGATATCGTTTTTCTTGCATCGATACATAATGTGCGTGGAATAAACGACAATTTTCTTTAAATTTCGATTCTGACAAAATGGTGTCAATAAATTTTTAAAACTTAGTGCCATATCTTGGGCAGTAAAATGTAGCTCTTCCAAATTTGGCAAACAGCTGGCCAAACGTTTGATATAGATTTGTGAAACATGGCCAAAAGACGGCAACTGCAATACTTTCAATTGCTCCACTGATGCGAACAGGTCAGCACACTGCAAGTTTTCGAACAGGAAGCCTGCGGAAGAATACAGAAAAATGGTGAAAATTTTGATTATAAAAAAAAGTCGTAGAAAAATCGACCAAAAATACCTTCCCCACACCAGGTGTGCGGAAAAGTAAAATTATATTTGTCTCCGTCGTACAAACCTCGGTACCCATGCAGTTTCTGAATCGATGTAATTTCGGCAAAATGATCCAGCTCCTCCAATCGTTTCGTAAACTCCAATTTAATCCTCTTTGTGTCGCTGTTCTCGCTGTAATGCTTCAATAGTTTAAAATTCCGTGCAAAATCCTTGTGTGTATTGTAGCACAGTACCAAATCGTCCAAATTTTTGGCCCGTTGCATGACCGTTGCTTGAACATTCGTTCCCTTACAAGCGATGTACTTAATTTGTGCATTACGCCGTAAGAACGGTCCAAATTCGACACGATTTGTATTCGCCTCATCAAAATAGGTGATGCTTTCAAGTGTTGGAAATGTGTGCTGTGCCCATGTCACCTTACCGTTATACTGAATCGGTTCATCGATGCCAAAATGTTTGATTCGTTGACAATGTTTCAAAAAAATCTCATAAATATCGCCAATTGAACAATTGACAAATTTAATATTCTCCAAATGTTCGAGATGGTCTTTGATTTGAATGCCATGCATTGCATTCAATTCACAATTGATGCCATGCAATGTGAGTTCGCGCAAATTTTCGCAAAAATTTCGCTTCAAATAATCAGCACACACGCTACCCTTATACTCTTGAATGATGACATTTCGAATGAATGGTTTTAAATCGTCGACATATCTCTCATTTGGATACTTATAAAAAACGGAACGTCGACGAAACGATTGAATTCGCACATAGTTATTTGGATAGTGTCGTTGAAAATAGTCACCGGACACGGATTGGATACGTCGACATGTTCTACTCATCGAACATAAATCGTCTAGCTCCAATAAATTGCAAATTGTATCGATGCAATCATCGTTCATATCTAAAAAATGCGTTGTATTCGGTGGGTGTTCTTCTTCTTCTTCGGCTCTTTGTAATTTAAATCGTTTTGCCATGTTTACTTTCGACGACTGCGAACCACTTGCCAAACACTCATTTTGCTTGGCTTGCTTTCGTCTACACGCTCTCATTGTAATGAATTAAACTATTTTTAAATTATTTGAACGTGACTTTACATAAATTTAATACTCAATTTTAAATACAATACATTCAAATTAATTTATTCAAACAATTGCAAAACGGATTAAAATATACAAAGAACACACCAATAACTATGTGCTATATAAATTAAATTAGATGGTTGTCGCGATGTTGACATTCATGCACAAAGAATTCTCTCTCTTTGTATTGGTGATTGTTTGACAGATCAAACACTTTCCAGTGTGGTGGCATTGGAAACTCAACTGTGGTGAATTTCACGTTGCTCTATTCAAATCGAACTCAAACGGACGCTAATTTAATTTTGATTTTTTGTGGTTTTTTTCGCGCACATTGAAATAAAAAACTTTTATAAATATTTATTTTAATTCGAATTTTTGGATTTAGTTTTTGTTTACACGAAACTCTGTTGGCTTTCGTGGTGGAGACGCACAGTTTTTTTTTCTGGGAACAAAGTCCAGATCGTTTTTATTTTTGGCAACAGAAGTCTTCGAAATGGTATTTTACTTAACTATTACCATTTTATATCACGGCAATTCCATACGAAAGCGTCCAGACTGACCAATTATAACTTCGAAAACGGTAAGAATATTTCACATCGAAACATGGTAGTACAACTTATGAACATATAATAGGCATACAGACCTCTGATACACACATCAAGTACAAAAGAAGTAAGCTTGAACACTTTCTGCGAATAAATTAGTTAAAGATGAGCTAAGAGGAACATATGAAGGATCCAGAATGCTCTAGAATAAAGGTTTGAATTCAAACAATGTTGGAGATGTTATAATTCAATGAATCAATTTTCTCATCCATTTTCGAGCATTCAGAGCTGTTATGTGCACCGCGGAGGTGCGGGCATTTTTCTTGTAAGGCGACACTGTCGAATTCAGGTCACCTGAATCAGGTGCGGCACTTAAAAACTTCTATGAATTATGTGCGGCCAGTCAGTTCTGCGAACATTCAGGTGTATACTGCGTAGTTATCACTCAAATAATATAAAAACTAAAATAAATACTCGTAACATGCATTTCTTTGACTCATGTTGAGTGAACTTTAACATGTAAACAATTATTTTCAGAAGGAATTCCACAACAGTCATTTTAAAGTCGTAAGCATTAGCAAATACATACTATGTATGACTGATAAGAATGAGTCAACTATTTGACGTGCATCTTATCTTGTTTTGAATAGAAATGTGTTTCAAATGTTTTTAAATCAAAACTTCATCAAATCTTGACGATTAAATATGTGCTTTTAGTCACCATCACCATAAAAAGTCACATTAAAATAGTGTTGTTCAACGATTCATCTAAATTTGGAAGTTAATCGTAATAAATGAGCACTCTGTTTACAAAATAATTTCGAAAGTTTTATATTTCATGAATTTTGATCATAAATATCGCAACTTCTTCATTATTTTCCACGTTCTAACCAACGTTTTTGGTTCAATCAAAACGAAAGATGAAATTTTGGTTTTAATTATTTTTCTCGTTGGTGCGAGGTAAGTTCAACGGAATTTTAATCTAATTTTGTGTGAAGAAAATAAATCATTATGTGAAAATGAAGCCTTTTTGAAAATTAAAAATATATTCAGAATTAACTTGTCAATATATATTTTCTCGAAATGTTTTCTTCTCAGGAAATGAAATTAGGACTAATTTACATGCAGAAAACCTCATTGAATGTGAAAAACGTTTTGACTCAGGTAAAATCGAACACGCTTTTCCACTAATTAAAACGCTTTGAAATTCAAAACGATTCTGGGCCATTTCCATTTTTATCCGTCTGCATTTTGACCGAAAAAAATTATCAAAATAATCTCGAACCTCTAAACGTAGCTTTAAGCATAAGCACTTTAAACATTGAGTACATCTACAAAACATCTCAAAAATTAATTTTACATTAAAAGAATCGATCAATAAATTTCATTAAGCAAATTTTGTTATAACATGTATTTCAGTTTGCATCAATAAACTAATAAAAAAAGGTAATGGAGAAACATAGAAATAGCATGTCTATCACTGGCAGGGAGATATTGACTGGCAAAGAGTAAAAGGTGCTGGCACCAGTTTTGCTATAGCAAAACTTACTGGCGAAAATGACTTCAAAGATCCGAAATTCTCGGCGGAATGAGACAGATGGTATCCAAGCGGCATTGTATCATTTTTTTAAAGGTGATCAAACTCCAGAATCTCAAATAAAGCGATTGATGTCGAAGAAAAACTAAATGAA